CGCTCTGACACCTTTTCACCAGGCTTGCATGCCCCCACTCTGTGTTCCTCCCATCCCCCTCCCCCCCACACCCCATCCAACAAGCATGGCATGGGGAACAACAATAAAAGCTGCTCCAGCTCTGATCTAAAAACATTTCTATAGGAGTCGGAAAATAGCTCAGTTTATGCAGTATGTGTATCCCTCAGCCTCTCTGCTAAGATGACGCCAATTAGGACAACTGTCAAATAGTGGGAGGGATTTAAAAAAAAAAAATACACGAACATTTCTCCATTAAGAAGAAAATGAACCCCACCAATTCATCTTACAAATGCAATTGGCAGACACTAGGTAAGAGGAATGTTTGGTCATTACCAATCTGTACTGGATTTTAACAGGACACCTCAAGAGAAAAAATGCTGTATGTCCTACCTCCTTCCCAGCATTCAGAACCTCCTAGCACCTACTTTTAAAATGTTGAACACTATAGAACACACAAAGCATTATTTGAAAAGGCAGTGACAACTACGACATGCTAATTTTAAACGCTGCATTACTAGTTGCTGAGAGGTAAGAAGCTAAGGATCTCAAAATTCCACAATACAATCTATTAAATGCATTTGAAAAAAAAAAAAAAATCAGGTGGTCCCAGAGAGTATGAAGAGCCACAGTGTTTCTACAAGTATTTCTTCTGATCCATGTTTACCAGGCCTTTGAAAGTGAAATCGCACATGTTTGTCACTGCCTATAGCTTTATTTTAAATAGATGAAATGCCATCACCATAGCAAGCTGAATAGGGCAAAAACTTCAAATGCATTTTGTATAAATACCTGAGAATTTTATTTTCCTACCTTCCCCCCATGTGAAAAAAAATTAATACTTGTTTTAAGCCAATTTGGTTAATTTTGGTGCTCTATAGGGGTATGTGAAGCAGGTCGTATTTGATTTGGATTCGGCCCAAATTGGGGACAACGATTCAATTTGTTGATTTGGATCACTGTCCTCAATTCGATTCGGCCAAATCCAGATCTGAAGATTTGATGCTGATTCAGAGAATCAGCAATTCAGACATAGACACAGCTTTAAATGTTTTTTAAAAAAACATTTAAAGGTGTGTCTGTGTCCAAATCTTTCCAAATCGATTTGGAGGGTTCTGATTTGATTCAGAGAAATTAAAGGGTCCTCCAATTCGATTCAGATTCAGAGATTCAGCCACCAAAACAGGCCGAATCTCTGCCGAATCAAATCAAGGACCAAAGCTTCGCATGGACCTACTGCTCAACTGTTTAGTGCTCATTTCTTGATTACAAGAGATGGTACATACCAACACTACTAAGCTTTATGCATCCATCTACAAAAGTGCTTTTTCCTTTATTACACGGATTGAGTAGTCAATGTCCACCAGCAAAAAATATTTACTCTTTCTAAACTTTTGAATATGGAGATGAAAGTTTCAAAATTATGGAAAGGAGTTCCCTAAAACTATTTTTTTCTGTTGCAACACAAAAGATGTGGAACACAACCATTGGAGATCTGCTGCATGAAGTTGTTGGCATTGAACTGGAGCTTTCATCTTCACTATGTGATGCTCTAGCCCAAGTTGTTCAGAACAGCCCTGTTGCCACTACAGTTGCATGCCCTACAACCCAGCAACAAGTGTTCATTTAGGGAGGGCATGTTATCATTGGATATCCAAAGCATAGAAAGTTAAAGGGATTTTTTTCCAGTATAAATTAAAATGGTAAGGCAACTAAGTGTACCACACAAATTTTGTTTTTGATCAAAAGAGGACAAATGACTCTCAACATGTTCACAATAATAAGTGTAACTAGGATTCAAGAACAATGTGCATGAAATTCCTAGCTATAAAATACAAGGAAGATAAAGAATTTTCCATCCTGTTTATCAGTGGTCAGTCTTCAAAGTCTGCACTTCGGATACTTCTACTGTTTGCAATGCAGTAGAAGACTTCCCTACTCACTTAGTCTGGCCACATTTCAAAAGGACAATATAGTCGCCCCTCAGCTTTTGAACTCCCTCCCTCTGCTGAAACCAGCCAACTTGGTTAGTTAAACAGCTGGGACCTAAACAATCTTTTCACAATGAATGATGTACTTAAATCCTGTCAGACAAATAAATTGGTGGTTAAGACTTTCAAGAAAAATTCTGGGACTAGGAGTCTTAAAGTGCTAAGATTCTTTACCCATCTCAATATGTCCCCATCACTTCCCATCTCTACTCCATTTCTTTCTGCCCTCTTTCTTCCTTTTCCCCCTCTTTATGAAATAATAAAAAGAACAATCATTTAAAAGACACATTGCCAATATTTCTGCTTGAGGCATGTTTCATAAGGAGCGGCATGAAGTCCCCCCATAATCTACATTCTCCAAGAATAGATGAGGGGCTCTATATATATTATTCAGTGACTGTAAAAAACATTCCTGGTCAGGAGGCCAGAAGCGCAGAGGGCACATGAGACCTAGGAATTATTCTCTTCTCCTCTGTATCTTGCTGCTTAAGCAGTTGTAAAAATAATTGCTACTGAGATGTAATTAAATGTCCTTTTCCATCCTGTTCTGATTCAGCAGAGGGCAGGTTTTAATGCCTTAACCTCAGGCACAAAAGTTGTCTATCTAGTTAAACGATTTTGTACACAAAGTTGTCCCTCCACTTATCCATGGCATTTACTACGTGAAGAGACTGCATGGTAGCATACATTTCCTTGTCCTTTTTGTACTGTATTGGTGTGTGCGCTCAGACCATAAGTCCTTCAGGGGAGGCACTTTGTTACTTATTTAGCATAGCCTCCACCCACCATCTCCCCCATCCATTACAGTTCCTCTCTTAAAGACTAAAACATTAAGAAGAAAGTGATAATTATGCACACTTGCCTGAAAATTTAGGCCATTTGTTACCAAGAGTTTCTTATTTGCAGGGTATTAGCAATAGGTGATGCAGGACCCTTGTATTAGGAAATCTAAGATATAGTAAAGCAAGGCATTTCCTTGCTCTTTATGAGCTTGATCTTTCAAGGTACTTAACATCTTTAAACAAATGATGAAGGATCATGTTACAGACATGAACAGGTTAAATGACCTGTTTATGTTCACATAAAAAGTCAGTGGCAAAGCTAGGACAAGAATCTTTTAATTGAATCCTAACTTCTAGAGCTCTGTTCTTGCTATTAAAACCAATCCCTAAAACCTCAGAAGTGTTCATAAATAGAGGGGGCGGGGGGAAATCAAATGGGACACCCTCTCTTCTCCAGCTACATGTTCAAAGGTTGGGCTACAAATATTACTGTTGACTTGTCTGGGGAATCCAGGTGCCAATGTGCTAAGCACTGAGCACACAGAAGAACAAATCTCTGGTATCAGGTAATACCACGAGGACAAAAGAATCTTGCCTGAATATTGTTTTCAGAATTGAACAATTAACTGAAATATGTTCAGGTTGCTAGGTTCAGTTACAAAGGTTGTATCTTAACACAGCTTAAGAAGTGGGGGATGGAACAGATTCAAAATTTAAAAAAAGAGGAAACACTGAACTGTAAAATAATTTGGCTAAAACAATCATTATTTAGTAACGACATGTTAGCCACTTCTGTTAGAGCAAAGACTGTTTTGTTACAAATTATTGTATTCAGAGCAAAATAAGTCAATTAATGGTATGCAAGCTTGTGCGCTTAGCTCCACGACAGTTTCCCTCTTATTCAATAAATGACTCTCTCTCTTCAATCTATAATGCATGATCAAACAACAATGCATCATCTATTACAGATATTAAGTTCATAAAGTCACTTTCAAAAGTTAGTATACATAAAGAGTAGCAGATGGTCTCAAAATCTGCTGCAAAGCTGATATCAGAAGCAGCTTCTTGCAAATTTACCATGTTTGCTGTTTTCTAAGTCAGTCATTAGGAGGCAGCAAATGGCTCAAAACCATGTGAGACCACAAATGTTGTAGGAAGTTGTAAAAGGAGAGGATAGGGCAGACTAGAAAGAACTAGGAGTGGAAAACAGAGTCAGGTATGGAAGTGACTTCCTGACATTTTCCAATCCAATCAGATGTAAGAAAGAGACTAGCATTTTCACAGACCTTGCTTAAATAGTTAGGTTTAATGGTTAATTAACTATCAGACTGAAATAAGCCACACGTGGCTGCTCCGATAGGCAGTAAAAAGAAGGGGAAGAAAAAAAAAAAAAACACACAAAAAAACCCCCAAAACACAAGGACAGAAAAGACTCATCATGTATGAATGAATTCCTATGCTTTCTAAGTTGGTGTCATAATACTTCACACATCATGTAAACAATTATTGCCAACCAAAACCTGGAAAAAACACAAAACAAAATACATCATATGCCATTGCATCTCAAGCAAAAAAAAAAAAAAAGGTCATGACTGAAAGATGAAGATTTTAATTCACATTATGTTTTCCTTAGGTATAATAAAACCAATACAGTTACATACCTTTTTTTGTAATGTACAACTTAAAAACAAACTAAATGTCCAAGTTATCAAAGTCCGTGTTTTTATGGTGAGTATCTGTAGATTTTTTGTAAAGGAGAAACAATAATTGTTGCCAGCTATCTCATATCATATGCAATCAAGAAGCGTTTTTAAAACTATATTATATTATGAATCAAAACATAAGTGGGGGAAGTGAGCAACAATTTAGCATTTTAAGCAAGTCTGTAAATATGGGAAGAATTAAACTGAGCTAGGTTTGCACATCTATATATAAACTCAGTGTGTGTCTGTTTGACGTGCTTGCTGCATTAGCCTCTAAAGCACATATCTATCAGTACTATTATCAACACCCTCATATTACGTATACAGCTACAGTAAACAAGCAAAAAGCTATAGTAACAATTAAACAAGACCTGTTATATTTCATATAAATACATTCTTACGGCTGTAGAAGAACAACATTAGCAACATTACATTGGCAATCAACCAAATCCTTTCAGCTACAATTAACATGAATTATTAATAATAAAAACAAATGCACAACTTACTATTTGTCAGGTGTCCACACTGTCCTGTGGCTCGAGTCAATGGGAAACAGCTACCATTAGGAAATCTGGTAGGCAGAAATACAATAAAATAAAAAATATTAATATGCCAAAGAGCAGGATCTCTAGCTTTTCTGCAAGGATTTTTATTTCCACAATACTCCACAGGCAAGGTAAAAAAACAAAGTTGAAAAATATCTATATTTAACCATAGCCCGGCAGTATTCCAGGATCCATGCTTCTCTAACTTTAAAACAGCAAAGGCTCAAAAGACAGAGATGCATCTAATAGAGCAAAAATCCAAGTTCAGTATCACTAGTACGCAGTGTGTGTCAATAAGGAGGACTGGATCTCCAAAATAATGATTAATGTATTATCCAGGTTTTTTCCCCTCTTTCTCTTTTTGCCTTTCCATTCACATTTTTCTTCTTACAAAATGCACATAGGTTTGTTCTTCCTTGTACCCTGACTCAGGCCTGGCTTTGAAATGCATTTCAATCTCTCAACACAGACTGCTTTCACTGCATTTAGAGTCCCACCAAGGCCCAGCTTTAAAAGCTACTGATTCTTTTTTTTCTTTAGCCATCCTCACAAAAGAAGGGTATTTTGTAAATTACCAGCTCGTTCAGATCAACAAAAGGTACTTTCATAGAAAGCCCCATTTGATTTTGCTCAAATTTGATTACAAGGATGGAGAAAAGGAAAGGAAGTCAAAAAGAAAAACCCCAGATGGCTTTTTCATTCATCTCAGTGAATGAGCTTTATCTGTGCCTTTTGAAACTGTAGCAGTGGAAAAGCATTTCTGTTGGCTTAAAAAACTTGACAAAAATTATTGGTTTGCCATTTCTCATGTAACTGCCATTGGGAACTGGATGAAAAGACTTTTTCATGGGATCGCCTGCTTGGATCAAAATAATGGAGATTAGGTATTTCATTATAAATTACAGTGGGAGATAGAGCAGGCTGTCATATTAATAGCAACCTGCTCATGGCCTTCAATGGTAGCTATTCTCCTAGACAAAGGACCAAGGGGGTTGTCTATTGAACTTGTACTTTAGGCCTGATCAATTTTCTATCATCAAGGCAAAAGGTGAGGTGACTAACAAAAGAATTCACACATGAGTGACCTCATAAGCCTACAGATAAAACAGCTTAAAGAAACAAAACACATCCTGAAATTATGGGTGATAAACTGTATAAAGGAGAAAAAGAAGAAGAGAAAAGATAGAAAGCAAAAGGGAAAAGAAAGAGCATTTGGTCTATAATTCTCCTCTCCCTTCTTAGGCGAATGGACACATTAAAAGCTACTTGTTTTCAGCTGCAGATAATTGCAGCGTTTGCCTTGCAATGTTCTGCCTAAATCTTTGTGTACTTCTCTGACACGGTTCCAGCAATTTCATTCACAAGTAACCACACTATTGTTTAATGCAGGACTTCAAAAAGCCATGTACACACAGAGAAAGGAATAAAAACAAAAAATAAGCAGAAAGATACCACATTACATGCATTAAAACTGCAATCAAATCACAGGGAGATAATTTCAGGAGTCAGGACTTTGGGGGGTTTTTAAACACAAAAGTTTATTAAGTGGAAGTTGGACAGCTAAGTTACGTGACTAAAGGCGCCCTCAAGGACCGAGGCCTTGACATTTCTTTTATTTGGGGTAATGGGTTATTTTACGCAATGTGCAGAGTAGCATGCAACATGCGCATGGTCTATACACATGCTGTGCAAGTACATTTTCTTCCTCTTTTCCTGTGCCCACCAGAAGTGGTGGCATCACTCTAGAGCAGCAACGTTCACCTTTTAAAAAGGAAAGAACTACTTTCTTATCTGTCAGATACAGAGGTTGAAATCCTGGCCCCACTCAAGTCAAATGGCAAAATTGCCATCGATTTCAGCAAGGTCAAGATGTCATTCAGAAAACCATGGAAGTATAATCCTGATTTTCCAAAAATCTGTAGAGAGTCAGTGCTGAAAAAATCTTTCAAGCGCCTAACATGTTCAGCATCCCCTCTTATACCATTTGGATAAATGAGGGTAGACTGTATTTGGAATACACAAATGCGTGTACTGTACCTATACTAACAAGTAATAAGCAGTGCATTAATCAAAGCAATTAACTAAACATTTTACTATGGACCACTTCATTTACATTACTCAGCAATAACTCAAATCTGAATGGAACCCAGCAATCGTTTTTTAATGTCAATCAAAAAAGTACAGCTAAATAGTTAAGGCACTAGCCTCAAATTTAGATTTAATTCCTGCTCTGCCCGTCATCATATGTGAATGTGGCCAGGATGTCTTAAGATATTTAACTATGGCTCCATTCAGCATTACAATGTCTAAAAGACTCGCTGAGAGTCAATAGCTAACATGCATTCGTTATCCCACTGTAGACACACACCTTTTCTGGCAGTGAAGACAAAGCTGGAGTCGAGCACAATAACAATGCTACATGATAGGCTTATGGCTGTCAAGACAAGCTGTGGGTATCACTGCTCCAAAACACACACTTCTGAGCAGTCTGAACAAAGTGGCTAACGTGTGAAATCAAGAGAAGCATTGGGGAAAACTTTATAGCTTTTTAACTGTTAGATGCAACTCTAACACTGATTTGTTAATGAAAAATTGCAATATATACATGACTAATTATTAAAGATGGTTGAAAAAGATAAGCAGTGTTCAAACAAAAAAAATTACAGGCAAAGCTTCATTTTGTCTGAAAATTTCCTTCGCATATTGGCACTTAAAAACATTTAAGATGGGAAAAAGTTTGATATGAAGCTAGTAAGAGAAAATGGGCCTCCCTCATTCTCTCTCATTTACTATTTTCCACTTTTTTTTTTCTTTTAGAAATTACTAGTAGGACAATCTTTGTTTTCATCAAAAGGCATTTTCCCATCAAAAAACAAATGGACCTACAAGATCTTGAAGTAACTCTAATTATTACCATTGTAACATAGTATAAATAACCTCACTGTTATTCTCCTATCCAGCTGGTCTATGCTATGCATAAAGTTTGAAGTGTGCATTCAGGGAAGCATATTATATTACTTACATGTCCCTTCATTAAAGATAGGATTTGGTCTACATGTATTTGTTAACCACAAATATATATTGGTGTTTGGGCCAAAACCCATCTTTAATGGCGCGACATATATATTATATATAAATAGATTGATATTATTAGTATATTCCCTATATTACAGAAAGGGCAACCAAGGTATGGAGTGGTTCATTATTTATCCATTTTTCCAAAGGAAACGCATGTTAGATCCAGGGGTCGAGTTCTGTTGTTCCAGTTACTGAACTCGTCTGTTCTTCTTTATCACATTCAGATGAAATCGGGATGTTATTAGACATCATTATAACTAGGATTGGTAAAAAGAAAAGAAACATAGGCTCATAAAGGAACCTAGCCAGGGGAGAACAGGAACAAAAGGAACTCAGACTACAGCTATGTAACATTGAGGTAACACTTCCAGACCAAGGTTTTCACAGCCTTTTTTAAAAAACTCTTATCTGGAGAAAAAGTCTATGTTTTCATGGGATGGGAAACATTTTCTAAATCAGCTCTAATTATAACATCTAACTTTGGATGATGCATTGACTTATACTTCTGATAACTTTCTGGAATTCTTTGGAGGGGAAAAACAGAAGATGGAAGGGGAAATAAGAGAGCATCAACTGATGGATTTTGCGGAATACTTTTGCCTGTGGAGAAGGAAAAAATCGTTACAAGAATTTTAAGTGAATTTGTACTGGAGGTTACGTAGACCTGCCACACGCCACACACCTTGTGTGTGGACACTCCGCATGCGTGGAGTGTTACATACCTCCACGCATGCGGTAGGTATGTAACACTCGGGAGAGCTGCTGAAATGTCATCCTTTGTTTGTAGGAAAAGGGGGAAGGGAGGAAAGAGCTTGGGAGGACGTAGAGATACCTACATAAAATACCCTGTAGTGAGAAGCATGCAAATTGAGCTGTGAGTTAAGAGAAATTGCTGCGTTAGTCTGAAGTCAGGCAGAAGGTAGGGCAGGGGGGCAGACTAACCAGTTCAGAGAGGCATGAGCTATCACAAGCTGTCACTTATGCCTATCTGAACCAGTAGTCTCCATGGTACTATGCTGCCATGCCTTGTGTAAATTAAGAGACTGTGAATTGTAGTCCTGATCCTGCCTAACTACTCTTAATATTTGGTTACTGTTCTCTGCATTTCACAAAGACTTTGACCCTTACTCTTATCATTCACCTTATTTAGAGGAAATGGCTTACAGAACCTGACTTAGGCAGCGCAGAAAACAGGATCTAGTGAATAGATACCTAGACCTGATTTCTATTCCTGGTTCTGCTCCTGACCTGCTGCATAACATTATATTGATCTTTCCATTTCACCACCCATAAATTGGGGATAACAACATTTCTTTTGTAAAACATGTTGATATATACTAATCTGAAGGACTATGGGGCTGTGGACATTTGTTTGCCCAGGGACACGAAGCAGTGACACACCTTATGCCACTGCTACTTGTCGTTCCCCCCAGGGAATGCCCATGCCACACGTCCTCTGGCATGCAGGAAGTTGTTGCGGGTGGGGTGGGGGAGGCTGAGGCCAGCAACTATGCTGGTCCCAGCACCAGCAGCTGTACCTGGGGTCCTTTGGGTCCTTGGGGAGCTGCAGTTGTGGCACTCCTGCAGCTGGGAGCCTGGTCAGCAGCCAGAGCATGGCTCCAACAGGCCAGGCTCTGGTTTTGGGTGGTGCATTCTGCCACCATGTGCACCAGCCTGCTTTTTTAAGGTGTGGGTTTTTTGACCCTGGGATCATATATAGTTTGGCTCTCACAAGCTGCATCCAGATGAGTGCAGACATGTGGTGCCAGAGACCTGTCTGCAGCACTACACATGGAGAAGGTCCCTACACTGCTATCTTGCAGTGCAGGGGTGGGGTGTGGTGCCACAGATGAGTCTATGGTGCCATATACTACATATCCACGTTCCTCTGGATGCAGCCTATGAGAGCCAAACTATATATGAGGCAGTCTCATCCTGTTTGCCATAT